TATCAGTCGTTTATCGGGCCTATCTGAGAGCCGAGAATGGCCGGCCCCTGAGATGGCGCCATACTCAAGAACTGATAAAGTTACAGAGTTCAGTCCGTGATGAATGTTAAGTAACTGCACCCGCCTCAGATAGGATATGGACTTGGCAGAGAGAGGAGCTCTGTCTGAAACCAATCTCCCTGATAGCGGCAGCAGAGCTGTTTTTTCTCAGGCTGTGGCTCTCCTCCTCCTCCTCACTTACCCCCCTCTTCTCTTTCCTTTCCCAAGAGATTTGGGGAACAGGGAAGGGTTTTTCTTTTTTGCTGAAGTAAAGCCAAAAAGTTCAGATGCTCTCTTGACCTTTGAGCAGCCATCTTGTTGTGAAGGGTGTCTTCAAAAACGCCTTTTGAGCATTCCACTGGCTTTCTCGCCTTCCTTCTTGGATATGTTCAGCTGAGAATAAATGTCATTAATTAGTGCTAGCGCCCAAAGGGCCTTCTGCCCCACTTTATTTTGTGGGGGTGGGTTCCTGTATGCTGCATCAGCACAGGCTTACCAGGATACAGTGTTGTGGATGTGACCAGGTATAGGGGGGAAATGAGTTTTTAAATTGTCCCATTTACATCTTGTCAGCTGTTACGAATTTTGGCTTATTTCACTCTTTTTAAAAAAAAATACTTTTTTTTAAAGGACACAGTTATGATTTTAAAAGGCAACATGCCCTGGCCCATGACCAATTGGGCATTTGAGCCTGATCTCCCAGGTCCTAGTCAGAAACTCATAACACTAGTGTAGTGATTCTTTAGTGTAGTGGTTTTATTTAGTGAAAATTATATACAAAATGCATTATATTAGGAAATATTGCTTGCAAGAATACATGCTTTAGTCAAAAGTACATTAAAAAAACTGTACTTATTTGGAGAAATTTGCACAAAAATGCTGATGAATTTTTGTGAGGATTTCTTGTTTGTTTTTGTTTCTTAAATGAAAATTGCTGCAGAAATGTGGACGACAAAATTTAACGTTGGGACAATGAGAAACTGCATGAGTTGAAATTGACAGATCCTTCCATCTATATAGTCTCAGTATTGTGCCATGGAGAATTAGTTTTTTTGTGGCACTGTTTGTGTGAACAAAGTGAGCCATGGAGCATTTTCCTGATGCTTCTTAAGAACAGCTCTGCTGGATCAGACCAAAGTCCTATCTAGTTCAGCATCCTGTTTCCTGCACTAGCCAGTCGCATGCCTCTGGGAAGCTCACAAGCAGGGCCTGAAAGCTATAACCCTCTCTTGCTGTTCCTCCTTGTCAACTGGTATTCAGAGGCAGGCACCACTGCTGTCATGACTTAGTAGTCAGGGGTAGCCTTCTCTATTATTATTATTATTATTATTATTATTAGTCACTTTTCAAAAAGTAACTCAAAGCAACATACAATAAAAGACACATACATTAAAATTAGCATAAAGCAAAACAGAGAAAAATCTAAAGCTCATTTATATTTTTTAAAAGGCTGGCAGAAAATAAATGTTTTTGCCTGGCACCTAATGATATGTAATAATGGTGCCAGGTGAACCTTCCTGGGGAAAGCATTTCACAAACTGGGAGCCACTGCTAAAAAGGCCAGTTCTTGTTTTGCCACCCATCATATTGGGGGCACATGGAGAAGGGTCTCTCTGACGATTGCAGGGTGTAGGTTGGTTCATATGGGGAGGAGTGGTCCTTGAGGTTCTGGGGTCCTGAGTCCATTAATTTGTCTAATATCCCTTTTAAAGCCATCCAGGTTGGTGGCCATCTTGTGATAACGAATGGTCACATTTTAACTATGTGCTGTGTGACAAATTCATCATTTCTACCTCCTTCCTGAAACTTGCATCATTCATCTTCATTTGTTCTCATGTTACGAGAGGGAGAAAAAGTCCAGTTTGAATGATTGTAGAGGATATTTATTGGCTGTTGCTTTCAAAGCAGTGCAAACTGTTCAGATTGTGGACTTATGTACACTGCAAACCCTTAGCTGCCATGGCTTTTCCCCAAAGGACCCTGGCAATTATCAGATGCTTCCTTCTCCCCACCCCACAAAGAAGCCCAGTTTCCCAGGGAGTGACTGCTACAATTTGCAGTGTAGTTTAGCCATCCCTCTTCCCAGAAACTCTGGGAATTGTCGCTGTGGGAGTGGATTAGAGATCTCCTAACAACTCTCGGCAACCTTAACAAACTACAGTTCTCTTATAATTATTTGGGGGCAGCTATGACTGTTTAAAGTGCCATAGAGCTTTCAATGTATGATATGAATGTGGCCTTTGTGCAGTCTGGACCTTATATGTCTTGAGAAGGTAGAAAGAATCTGAGAGACCTCTATCAACCACACTTCCTGGCTGAATTGTGGTGTTTTTAAATTAGGCAAAGAGCTCTAAAGCAGAGCAGGGTGAGAAATAGTAAAATTATTGGACTTCCGCCTCTTCCCTCCCCAGTTCTTAGCATTTTTAATCACTGGGGGCGTGTGGAGGGCAGAACGTGCAGAGGGGGCACCTGTGTTACTATGGAGACTGAAGTGGAAGGTCAGGCTCAGTTTATCATCTTGGAGCAAAATGGAGAAGGACTCCTCATTTAGAGAAAGAGAGAGGTTCCTCTTTGCTGCTGGGCGTTGCCTGCACACTTATCAGCTGCTCACACCAGACTGATATTAAACTTATCTTTGGACAAGTTTTTAAGTTGTCAAGGGAGGGCTGGAGAAAGAGAGTAGTAGAAACCAGCCCAGACTGAGGCTTTTGAGTCTGGTGCTGGGCTGATTGCGATATGATATGGGGTCTCTCTGGCGGCATACGCACCATATATTTAAAGCACATTTCACCCACCTAAAACAAATCCCAAGAACTGTAGTTTGTTTGGGGTTATTTGCGCTTGTGATTGTATTGGAGCGGACATACTGCTTTGTTTGCAATCAGTGGGTGTCTCATCAATTCCTGCTGAAATCCTGTAACTTTTCATATCCCAAACGTTCCAGGGTTGTTATTTTTTGGCCCTGCTTTTCTTGCGCTCTCTAGTCTAGCTGGCAATAATAGAATAACATTAGAGAAGCATCACAGAACAGCTAATAAAGCAGAATGATATGTGTACAGTCCAGCAAAATCTTCCCCACCATTAATGCACTATGATTGCATCAATGCCATGTTGCGTGTCGAGGTCCCCAGGGCCACCCCAATAACTCACACATCACACAGAATTTTTTGTTTAAGATTTTTGGCATAATTTTGGCCACAACTTTATTGAAATACAAATTTGTGAGTGGTTGCTTAGGCATTGGTTGCGACTATCTGCCCCCACCATGGGGGACAGACTGACATTCCGCACGATGCAAAAGTCAGAATAGGGAATACACTTGGGGTTACGCGGAGCAGGGAACCTGCCCTCACCCCAAATGCAACCAGGAGCTCATTGCTATGGCCCGAGCCCCCTTGACAGAGTGGACAAGCAATAGTTAGCCCCCAATTCCTTTAACGGAATCCCTTGCAGCAGCAGCATTAGAGGGGCAGGCACTCAACCTACCAAGGGCAGGCACTCAACCACTGCCCCTCAACCAACCAAACCATAAACCAATGCCTAACCGCAACCTTACAAGTTGTGACGATTTGCTACGCAGTAGGCAAAAACCAAATGGCCCGAGCCAATCAGCCAATGGACAAAATTCCTACCAGGCCCCTGCCCCAAGAGCAGACGACCCCATGACAGGCATAGCAAGGTCAAAGCGAACAACCCTAATTCTAGGGAGGGGGGGGCGGGCAATCCGATGCACGGTTGAAAAGAGGAAGCCCTAGCCTCATGCAAGGAGTTTTAGCATTTCTGGCTGTCAATCAACAAATGGCAACATTAACTTCTTCCCAACAACAAGGGAAGCCCCAATCGCATCAGTGGCCAACAAACAATTAGCCCGCCCCCAACTTTGGAGTGTCCTGGCAGCCCCCACCGCAACACGTGCTCTCCATGAAGGAGAACACGCTTTGTAGAATACATACAGTACATAAATCCCCACCACCAACTTTGCCTAGTTTTTATGTGTCAGCTGAAACCATGCAGTATGTATATATGTATGTATGTATGTATGTATGTAGTCAGGCCTTTGATGGATAATATCCTTGGACCACAGAATATAGTTAATGGTGGACTTTGGGAATTGTTTTTAATTGGTTGTTGCATTTCTTATTTTGAGCTGCACTGGGCAGTCTGCAGATGAGGGATGGGATATAAACAATGAACAATACATTAATAAACGACTGGCAATATTTAGCACTGATACAATGTGCTTGGTGAATACTCAAGATGCTTCATGTATCCTAGAAGTACTTAAGAACGACCTTGTAAGATAGACTGGCATTGTCATCTTTGTGTTAGGAAGTTGGGGGGGGGGGGAGAGAAGGTGAGTTTCATAAATGAATTACCATATTTTTCGCTCTGTAACACGCACCCGACCATAACACATACGTAGTTTTTAGAGGAGGAAAACAAGAAAAAAAATATGCTAAACGAAACAGTGGATGTATGATTTTTGTGGTTCATGCTGTGGCCACAGACATGTGATCTGACAGTGAGTTTGGAGTAGCCCAATGCAAAAATCCTGAGGATCCATGTGGATCCATGCTTTGTAACCACATTTTTGCACCACTGCGGCCCCAGGCAACAGTGGGTGCGTGATTTTTTTCATGCAAGATGTAGCCATGGACATGCTGTGTGATCTGATGGTGAATTTGGGGTGACCCAGTGCAAAAATCCTGAGGATCCATGTGGATCCGTGCTTTGTAACCACGTTTTAAGTGGGGAGGGAAGGAAAAGCACTCAAGGGACAAGGAGCACGCGTGGGGTGTGTGGAGAAGGATGCTGCTAATAATGCAGGAGAGGGGTTTAAGGGGAGAAGGCTCCTCTCCTCTCCCGCTTTGCTCCTTTAAAGCAAGCAGGCTCTGCTTTTCTCCCTCCTCCCCGCTCATCCCCGGCTTAGCGAGCTGAAAAACTTTGCTGCTATGTAGCGAGCTGAGTGGAGAGGAGAGAGGGACAGAGAGCCTGCTTGCTTTAAAGGAACCAACCAGACAGGAGCTGCTTACACGAGTGTAAGCAGCTCCTCTCCTCTCCCGCTTTGCTCCTTTAAAGAAGCAGGCTCTCTGTCCCTCTCTCCTCCCCACTCAGCGGCTCTTCTCCCGCTTTGCTGTTTCAAAGCGAGCCATGGAGGAGGGAAGGAAGGGGAACCATGGATCCTCTGCTCACAACTGCAGCAGATCCCCCCGCCACCTGTAGGCATTCCCTCCATAACACGCACAGACATTTCCCCTTACTTTCTGGGAGAAAAAAAGTGAGTGTTATGGTGCAAAAAATACAGTACCTAGGGAAGAACTTACTACACACTTACGGTTCTGAGTTTAAAACCAGCCGATGTCATTGAGTGGACCCCATCATTCCTAGTCATAGAGGGGAAAATATTTTGTTCTCCCTGTACATACCAGCTTAGGCTCCAGAGGGAAAGGAAACCCACTATGGGCAGTAGGTTTCTGATTAACAATTTTGGCATCTTTGTGGGCCTTCTATCTGTGGCTTGCGTCTGGCTGAGGGCTCCTCTTTTGCTTTTATCTGCCCAACATCCTCTTTGGTGGTATCCACCGCTATCTGCTCGCTCACCCATCTTCCCCTTATGCAGATAGGAGCTTGTCTGTATAGCTTTCCTTGGGCACATGTCTCCTCTGTGTGGAGAGGCCTTGTCCAAATGAACACGCGGAGCATGAGGTAGCTTTGAGGTGAGATCCTGAAGTCCCAACTTGGTGCCCGCCTGATATCTTCTCAGACAACTCCCATCAGCCCCGGTCAGCCTGGGAGCATGGTCATGCTGGCTGGGGCTGAGAGGAGTTGCTATCCAAAACACTGGGATAGCCTCAGGTTGGGGAAGCCTTCTGTACCTCCCCTTTGGTCTGAATGGGGTTTAGCCTGATGATGGGGCTTCTGTTGGTTGACAGCTCAGCGTGTTTTTTGGGAACTTTCAGTCACGCGTGGAGCAAGATGCTGTGTCTGTGGCTATATGTGTTCCTCATCAAGGGACTTTTTATCAACCTAGCTCTGAGTCCAGATGTTGATGAGGTTGCAGATTTATCAAAAGGTACACTTGAACCCACCTTTTCAATACCCTAGCAGCTTAGAGCAGAGCTGTCCAGTCAGCAAAATCCACATAGCATGAGACCTTTCTGGACCATACTATGGTGGGGGTGCTAATCTGATTGTGTTTGTGTTTAAAACCATTCAATTGGGTGGGGTGAGGGAATGCTTTAGAGCAATATTTCTTGTTTCTATATTTCAGAAATTATTGCATGGAAGAGCATTCAGATGTAGTATCTGCCACCTGTAGGAGACATTGGTATAGGTCAGGAAGAGCTCTAGTGAATAATGTTTTTTATCAGTGCTTTTCCTCACTTTAACCTGTCCCTGTCATGTTCATGCAACCAAACACTTGGTCTAGAACCAGATTTAAAAGCCCTATACCCCCACCCCATGCCTTAAATGGGTACAGAATGAAGAGAGAACTTGTCCCCATCTTCCAGACTGCATTGCTATTCCTCTCCTTCATGAATTTGTCCAGTCGTCTTTGAAAGTCATCCAAGTTGGTGACCATCACTGCTTCCTGCAGGAGTGAGTTCCATAGTTTAACTGTGTTCTGCATGAAGAAGTACTTCTGTCTGTCCTGAATCTTCCAACATTCAGCTTTACTAGATGCCTACGAGTTCCAGTGCTATGAGAGCGGGAGAAAACCCTTCCTTTACCCACTTTCTCCAGGCCCTGCATAATTTTATAAACACCTCTCATTCTTCCCCACTTACTCACCTTTTCTCTAAACAGCCCCAAATGCTGCGACCTTTCCTCATAGGGCAGTTGCTGCATCTCCTTGATCACCAGTTTCGCTTTCCTCTGGTCAAACAAACCTGGCCCAATCTGTCTCAGGAATTGCACAGTGAACTCATGCGCCCCGCAGGGGATGCCTAGCATCCTTAGGGGAAGAGCACCCATCTTCCCATGCCATCTCCAATTAGGGCCGGGTAAAGCACCAACCTGAAACCCTGGAGGGCCACCACCAGTAACTGTAGACAACAGTGAGCTAGATGGAGCAGTGGTTTGACTCGGTATAAGGCAGCTTCCTATGTTCTCTGGAGCTGAAACCAGATCAAAAGCTGCTGGCAGAAACAGCAGTGACTGTGGAAAAGTTATAATGAGAAAACGTTAAAGCAATAGGTGCTGGGATTTTTTCCACCCCACCCCCTTATTATAGATCATGTCTAAGGGCTTTATTATGTACACAGATATGCAATTTATCCTCACAAAAGCCCCGAGAAGTTAGGTATTAATATTCACATTTCACAGATGAAGAACTGAATTGGGTGTGTTGAAATCGCATTTGTATCCCACTAGTATTCTAAGGAGCCAACACTAGTATTCTAAGGGCAGCCAACTATATCTATCTATCTATCTATCTATCTATATCATCTACACATTTTATCCTCACAACAACCCTGTGAGGTAGGACAAGCTGAGATGGTGCCGTGCCCAAGGCAGCCCAGGGAGCTGCTTGGCTGAGCATGGTTTGGAACCTGTGTTTCTTTCTTTAATACCTAGTAGTCTTTTACCGACTTGCCAGACAGAGGGAGAAAAAGACTAGCCCAAGGCCACGCATCGTAAATCACTTGGCTGAGCAGAGATTTGGACCCAGATTGTAGGCCACACTGAGGTCTCTTGTCTGCCTTGTGTTCTCCTCCTGGGTTTCAAAGTGTGCCTCTCACTCTGTGTGTGTAAAGCATCCTCCCTGTTGAGAACCCTTTTCTATTGTCTGATGGGAATGACCTCAGTTGACTGCAGGGGGAACAAGCCTCCTCCCCAGAGATTTTTGTATTATCTCTTATGGGTGGGTGTATCTACCCTATCCTGCTATCTTTGCTGCTGCAGAGCTGTTTCTCCTCGTTATGTTCCGCTGCCAGAGAGCTGCAGGTTCTCTTGGAGGAAGACATCATTACAAAAGCAGAAATAGTTGCAGGGGTGAATGTCCCAGCAATGTACCTTTAAGGAAAATGTTGCAAACTACCCCACCTTGCTTGCTTCCTTTCTTGCAAGTCCCTCTCTCACACATAAACTGATCCACAGGACCAGGTGTATCCCACTTCTCCAGATAGGGAGCCTGTTCCTCTTCTCTGTCTCTCCGGCTCCCCTCCCTCCCCCTGTGGGTTTGATGGGTATGTGGAAGGGAGGGAGAGGGAACAGAGAAACTGTCAGTTGTGCTGCCGAATCCCTGCCTCCCCTGATCTCCAGGCTGGTGGGAAAGTTTGAATCTGTTGCTATTTTCTAGCTGTTATCGCAGCTTCTTATCGCTAAGCTCTTGTCTACATGCCTACTTTCGGATAGTCCAGGGTCTCTCTCTTGGAAGGCTTGTGGGGGGGGGACTTCTATATATATAGATAGATATAGTTGGGGTTTTTTAATTTACTGGATAAATGAGAAGGATCAAGAAAAGGTTTATTGTTCAGACGCTGAAAGAAGTTTAATTTGAGTGCAGTGATCAAATAATTACTCATCTAATGGTGATTTGTGCTGACCCATGTCTCTCTGCTTCCTGAAGCAAATGTTTCACATGCCGTTCCTCTAGCAGCGTTTTATCCATGTGGTGCCATTGTTCATTGGATGGTACTTTATTTTATTGAATATCTTGGGGGGTGTGGAGTAGAGTACAGTAATGCCTAGGAGCTTAATTTGGCATGGCAGGGGGAGAAGGCAGACTTGGTGCATTCACTGTCACAGGTTGAGTTAAAATATCAGCTGAATATCCTTGCCAGATGGTCAGTTTATATCACAACAAGGCGTTGTTGCTGTTTATTTATTGCATGGGGTCCAGATGTGTATCTCAAAGGAGTACTTCTGTTGCAGGAATATCACATTTCCCTAGCATCTGCCATTGTAATGCCGGTCCTGGGGCCTATGCTGTGCTTTCCTCAGAAAGCAGGGCTGCTGTAATCTGGAAGCACTTTTGGGGATTTTGTCACACATGTGATGGGCACCTGTTGATGGTGTCTGCACTGTCATGAAAGATGAGCCCCACAGCTTTCTCTTGCCCGCCCCCCACCATGTGGCTGCCCCTGCTCAGACCGCAAACCTGTGACCCACACAGGTGCTGTAAACTAAGCAGTCCCTCTCTCCCCTTCACATTGCGTGTCTGTCTCTGACTTTGACACTTTGGGTGCTTCCAGTTGTTCTGAATACAGTATCAGTGGCTGGAAACTGCAGAAGGGAAAAGTGCTCTTCTGCTTGGGTCCTGCTTGCAAGTTTCCCACAGGCATCATATCTGCCACTGAGAACAGGATGCTGCGCTAGATGGGCCATTGGCCTGATCCAGCAGATCTCTTCATATGTTCTTATTTTCCCTATAGAATCCCTATGGGAGGGATTCAAGTGCACACTGGAAATTTAGCTTTGTGCAGTTAAAGAGGAGTAATGCGCTCTTTCACACTAGCACAACAAATCAACTTTAAAAACAGGACAAAAGCACTGACTTTTTGCAGTTGAGAAAGTGATGGAGAAGTGCATGGAAAAGTATCAGATGAACAAATAATGAACAGGAAGACTTGTATATGCCCCACAAGCAAATCAGAATGAATACTCATTATAACAGAACCACCCTGGAAACAAATCAGAAATAATGCTTAATAAAGATCATACATAGTCTAACTACCACAAAAGCTTTCTGCAAGCAATTCCCAACAAAGTTTACATTCCTTTGTCTGTTGTCTGTCTCCCCCCACCTTCCCTGGCACCTTGCAACCTCACCTTGAGGTGGAAGGTGCTTCATCCAGCCTTTTAAAGTGGAAAGGGGTGATGCTCTTTTCTCCTTTCCCTGCCCTCCAGGATCAATGAACTGGACCTTGCACTGTTGCCTTTGAATTGGGACTTGCACGGCTATAATACAGCAACACAATCCTATACATGTCAAAAATAAGCTCCATTAATGCTAGAGCAATCTCAGTGCAGGAAAGGGATGCTTTTAACAGATCATCTGGATAAACCCAGAGAGAGACAGAGGCCAGACTTGATGGAGCAATAGCTGGAGTGCTTAATCCGTATTAATACTTTATTGTTGCATTGACCTTGCAACAAGACTGTGAGGGAAAT